TGTGCTTGTCCCAGAGGATCCAGTTGCTCTCAGAAAGTACTTGAGGACCTCCTAGGTGCCAACGCTTGAGTCTGAGCAGTGTGTGACTTGGGCTTTCATTTCCAAGTTCTGGCACCGTGACAGCCAACTAGAAATCACTAGACTGGTGAGGAAAGGGGCCGTTTAAGTTCCTTGAGTTCATAAAAACTTCAGCTAAACTTGTTTAAAGGTTGCGTTCAACCAGGGTATTGTGGTGCGCACCTATGATTCTAGCTACTCTGGAGGGTGAGGCAGGAGGATCGCATGTGCCAGGCCAGCATGGGCAGCTTAGTAAGCCCCTGCCTCAGAATAAAAAGTGAAAAGGGATGGGATGTTGCTCAATCCCCACAAAAAAAAAAAAAAACAACCACCACCACCACTTTGCATTCCTCTTGTGAATTGCTGTATGAGCCAGCTGTTGTGGATGGCAGCTTCTCCCTTTCCTCAGGTCTTCCTGAGGCTCTTATCAGAGGCTCTACTCACTCCACTGAGGCCCTCTGACTTGGGAAGTTATCTCCTAGGCATTGAGAGTATTGGTTGGGAGGGAGGGGGTGCGGTCTTCCTATCTGGTACACTTCCTCATTGCTTTGATAGAAGAGAGTTCTACTGTCAGCTTTGTGCTTTGGTTTTTGCAGCTGGTTGTGGACCATCCAGCTGTGATGTTTTCTAACAAAGGACAGCTTTGTGAGTTTTTCTTGTTGTTATTTAGGGTTTTTTATTTTTTTCTTGTTGTAGTTTGGTTGGTTGGTTGGTTATGGTACCTGAGATTGAACCTAGGGGTTCTTAGCCACTGAGCCACATCCTCAGCCCTTTTTTGTGTTTTTAGAGACAGGTCTCGCTGAGTTGCTTAGGTCCTCGCTAAGTTGCTGAGGCTGGCTTTGATCCTCCTGCCTCAGCTTCCCAAGCTGCTGGTGTCACAAGTGTGTGTACCACCATGCTCTGCCACGGTTTTGTATTTAAAAAGCTAATGTTGGGCTGGGGATGTGGCTCAAGCAGTATCGCGCTTACCTGATAGGTGCGGGGCGCTAGGTTCAATCCTCAGCACCACATAAAAATAAAATAAAAGATGTGTCCACCGAAAACTAAAAAATACATATATTAAAAAATTCTCTCTCTCTCTCTCTCTCTCTCTCTCTCTCTCTCTCTCAAAAAAAAAAAAAAAAAAAAAGATAATATTGCCAGGCACAGTGGCACACACCGGTAATCCCAGCAGCTTGGGAGGCTGAGGCAGAATGATCTCGAGTTCAAAGCCAGCCTCAGCAAAAAACAAGGTGCTAAGCAACTCGGTGAGACCCTGTCTTTACATAAAATACAAAGTTTAGGGCTGGGGATGTGGCTCAGTGGTCGAGTGCCTCTGAGTTCAATCCCCCATATCCCCTCCCAAAAAAAAACTAGTGCTAAAGGGACTTACCCCCTTTCCCAGGAATGTATCTCCTAGCAGCCCAACTCTCAGAACCTAATGTTCAGTGTGTGCGTGGAAGAGAGAGGCCACTATTCTTCTAGTGGACTCACCTGTTATAAATTCTTTTCAAGCCGGGTGCAGTGACACACACCTCCCAGCCACTCTGGAGGCTGAGGCAGGAGGATCGTGAGTTCAAAGCCAGCCTCAGCAACTTAGCAAGGCAATAAGCAACTCAGTGAGATCCTGTCTCAAAATAAAATACAAAATAGGGCTGGGGATGGGGCTCAGTGGTTGAGTGCCCCTGAGTTCAATCCACGATACCAAAAAAAAGAAAGGTGGGTAGGAGTTACAAGTAGACTTTTTTTTTTCTTACACAAGAGAAATACTTCTAATCAACAGAGTGGCTCTAGGAGGGTCATTGTCAAGGATGCCAGAACTGAAGATTACAGGATGCTGGCCTGACCTGTGGGCATCCGTTTCTCTCTAAGATCAAGGTGCTGGCAGGGCTCCAGCTTGCAGAGGATGGCTTTGTCCTCACGAGGCCTTTCCTCTCAGCAAGTGCAACTGGGTGGGGGAAGTCTGATCTCCCCTAAGATCAGAACCCACCCTTAAGGACCTCACTTTCCAGTTACTGCCTGCATGCTCCATCTCCAGCTACAGCCACGAGGGGTTAAGGGCTTCAATGTCTGAAGGAGGGGTGCAAACATTCCATACTGAAAGAGGGCCCATGGGTCACAACAAGGTGTTGTGTTCACCAGGCAAGCACCTATCCAGCACATGGTCAGTGAACATGGCCTGTGGGCCTCGGCTGAGCACTGCAGGGGGCTTCAACTTGAAACTGCAGTTACTACAGCACAACCAGTTCACTAAGAAACCCCAGCTAACTGGCGTTCAGTCAGGGAGAGAGAGGGTTTTCAAGCAGCAGGAGGCAAGTGGGTGGAAAGCAGGCAGCTCTGGGCTGGCGAGAGGTGGGATCTCTTCTCCCTTCAGGAAGCCATAGCTTTGATCTTAAAGGCCTTTGACTGATTGGATGAGGGCCACCCACACCATGGAGGGTCATCTCTTTTTTTTTTTTTTTTTTTTTATTGGTTGTTCAAAACATTACAAAGCTCATGACATATCATCTTTCATACATTTGATTCAAGTGGGTTATGAACTCCCATTTTTACCCCAGATACAAATTGCGGAATCACATCAGTTACACATTCACATTTTTACATAATGCCATATTCGTGACTGTTGTATTCTGCTGCCTTTCCTATCCCCTACTATCCCCCCTCCCCTCCCCTCCCATCTTCCCTCTCTACCTCATCTGTTGGAGGGTCATCTCTATTCAAAGTTCACTGATCATAGATGCGAACCACATTTACAAACACCTCCACAGGACACCCAGTCAGTGTCTTCTTGAATAAACCGAATTCCAGCCTAGCCTGGTTGGCATGAGGTGAACTGTCACACTGGGGAACCTGTGCCTCTTTAACTCTTGCCTTTAACTGTGATCAGTCACATCACACCCTCCTGCCCTGGGTACATCTTGAGCAGAAGGCTTAGCTTTCTAGTCATCTCTAGCTACAGGGCCCCCTTGAGCTTAAAGCTGTCTTTTCAGACTTGCCCAGTCTCACCCAACCCCATCCCCACGGGCAGCCAGCTCCCTGAGGGACTTGAAGTGGGGGTGGGAGAGGCTGCCCCTCTGCTCCCCCTGAGCCGAGCTGGAAGGCAGTTGCCCATTTGTGCCTTTGCTCTCTGTGGCCTCCACAATGTGGTGGTTCCTCCCTGTGTGGTGCGCCTGAGTCTCCAGGTGGTGCTCAGCCTCTGGGAGGACAGCACCACCCCTTCCTCCACACTCCAGCCTCCCTGCTGCGTGAGCCATCTGTCCCATGGTGGTCTCCTTGGCGGCCCCGTACACCACTCTGCCATCTGCTTCTGCCTCTGGCCAGGTGCCATCCTGGTCCCCAGAGGCCTTTGCTCCCAAGTGGGCACCTAGCTGGCCCTGCAGCACCCACTCACTGAAGAGCCAAGTGCCCCTCCTGTTCTGAAGGCAGCCCTTGACCCCTCCCCTACTGTTTGCTTTGAGGGGAGCCCAGACAGCCGCAGGTTAGGAGGGCTGGAGACTCGTTTCTTGCTCTCCTCTCAGCACTTCCACAGCCCCAGGAGGCACAGAGCTAGAGAGGGGGGTTGGCGATGACAGATGCCATTCTTCGACCCCCTTTACAAGCCCTGGAGGAGACAGTGGCCCCCACAGACCGTGTGGCCCCCACAGACCGTGTGGCCTCCTCAGTGGCTATGCTCCTTGTTCCTCCTTGCCTTGTCCCTGGGCTCTCGGAGCAGGGGGCACGAAAAGCCCTCCCTGCCTTCTGCTGAGGGCCTGCGGGCTGGTGACGAAGAGCGTCCTGCCTACCAGTCTCTGGATTCACTGCTGGAGGTCTGGGAGGACTCACAGGGCCTGGGCACACACCTGGTTCACAGAGGGAAACATCGCTGGAGACACACCCCAGCAGCAGCCAGAGCTGCTCAGGGTTAAATTCCAAGTTTTTTCCCTTTCTACTGCAATCTTAGGAAAATCACTCCTGTATTTTCACCAAAAGATTTTTTTTTAATTAGTTGTGGGCTTCTGGTCATTTTTTCCTCCTCCATTCCTGTACCACCTGCACCCACTGCAGCTGCCCTTCACGTCAACACCCCACAGATGACACACACTGAGCACTGGTGCTCTGGCCTTGGTAGCTGATGACTTCACAAGTTGGGTATCAATAACTGTAAAGAAAAGAAGAAATGGGCAGCAGCGAGCGCTCACTGACCTTGACCAGAGGGGACATCTCAGCCTGCTTGCTGGGCTCCCTGTTGGCATCTCCTTGTCCCTGTCCTGCAGCTGGATTTTATCTTTATGTCAGATATTTGATTTGCACATTTGAAGATGCTCACCAGTAAGCCAGGCTCCAGAGCGCAGAGCTGTAAAAGGCCCTCGTTGGGCTCACAGATCGGCAAGGTAACAAGTCACATCTAGACTTGGTACAAGAGAAAAATAGGCTGGAAGTTGATACAGAAAAACTAAACTTTGATGCTTATATCACTGACCTGTCAATGTGTATTGTGCAAGTCCAAAAGGACTGCGGAGTTTAACCAGCCAGTCCCTAGGGATATCGTGTGTGACACTGCTGCTTCTCGTCGTGACAGGAGCAGTGACAGGGCAGTGTGGTGCAGCCTTGGCTGGTTTTCAGCCTCTACTCTGCCGCACTAGAACATTCTCCTTGCTTTCCCACCCACTGATGGGACAGGACCTCAGAAGTTACCGCTGCCCTCTAAGCATTCGTTGGCATCGTGTCTTTGAAAGTGTGACAGTTAAAAGGCAAGATGTCTCTGGGGGTCAGCTTGATGTTCACCTGCCTGAGGTGGCCGATTTCCTGCTGCACTTTTGACCCAGGCTCCTTTTGGGGACCCACACTACTTCTGAATTTTGAGGCTAACGACAGGTCACTTTACCATGAGAAGCAACTATCATTAAGATTACTAATGTGTTTTAAATGCTCTTGGTAAATATTTTAAACTTCCTGGTTGTAATCATAGACTATGTGGATTTTAGTTTGCAGTTAACATGTTTCGAACATTGCCGCCTTCCTCCAATCCCACGGGAGCAGAGTTTGACCCAGAGGAGGACGAACCAACATTAGAAGCAGCCTGGCCTCATCTGCAGGTGCTGGACTGGGGGGATGGCAGGCCTGAATAGGAGGGTGCCAGCCACATGTGTGTGTGTGTTCCCCCAGCTCAGTAGAGGCCTGGCTTCAGCTGCTGGCCAGTGCACATCGGGTCTTTAGTGGCACAGACCTTACAAAACTATAGATAAAAGAAAAATGTTTTAGCAGAGAGGTGTGTGTGCACACTTGATACTGACTGTAAAGACATGGAATCACTGATAAGTCTTCTGTGGCAGTGCCCTGTTGGTGGTTAACCATTGAGTTCAAGCCTAGAGGACTTGGGCGGGTATGTTTCCAGCCTTCAGTACCTGGATTTAACTGTGCCACTGTGTTCCCAGGCTCCTGAGCTGACTGACCCCTTTTTATGATGTATATGTGAAACACAAGATTGTTAGGTTAAGAGGCACCAAGGCCAGCATGAGCAAAGCAGGGTCAGGCATGAGGATAGGGAGGGCACATCACCCCTAAGGCAGAAGAGAAAGAGCTGGGAAAACGAGGAAGGAACCAGACAGTGGGACACATGGGGAGGGTTCCTTGGAAGCCAGGCCCTCCCCTCTCAGCACTTGGCTTCCACATGTGCTCCTGACAGGCAGGCCACACAATGATGCCCTGTACACTCACCAAGGGGAATCATAGCAGCTGCCATTGAGGGTCTCGTCTTTGTGCCTGTCTTCCCTAGCAGACCCAGAGTTCCTGTCAGCTTGGCTCTGTGCCTCAGCACTGCAGGACACTTACAGGTGACAGGTTGCAGATCCCACCTGGAGTTTGGTCATGACCTGAACTGTGCACCGTGGGCTCTGAGCAGTTACTTAAGCATGGGTGACATAGGCCATGGAAAGCATTCTACTGAAGTGCCATTTAAGGGAAGTCTCAGTTCTCACTAAAAAAATAATAACCATCCCTAGTTATTATGTGCAAGACCACGGCGCATTCCCCAGCACCCCAGCACAGAACAGAGCCCAGTCCTGACTATCCAGCTGTCGCCATTCTGTAGAGATGTGGCTTTTTGTAAAAATCTAATGTTTTCAGGACATTAAAGATTCAGCTAAGCATATTTTCATCTCTTGATGAAATTCCATGATGTTTGACTCACTGTTGTTTTTTTCCTCCTAGCTTGTTTATGAGTTTTTCTTAAGATTTTTAGAGTCTCCAGATTTCCAGCCTAATATAGCGAAGAAATATATTGATCAGAAATTTGTATTGCAGGTAAGGTCACAGATTAACTGAAATTTCAGGAGCTCTGATCTGCAGAGTGTACATGTCACTGAGTATCTTTTTTTCTTGAAGCTTTTAGAGCTCTTTGACAGCGAGGATCCTCGGGAGAGAGATTTTCTAAAAACCACCCTTCACAGAATTTATGGAAAGTTCTTAGGCCTGAGAGCGTACATCAGAAAACAGATAAATAATATATTTTATAGGTAAGTCTCTGCATGGGTGGCGTTCCTCCTTGTGCATGGTGTGTTCATTTTCACATTTGACGCCAGCGTCTCCCTGGCCTGGGTGAGTACAGCAAAGGAAGGCTGCAGCAGCGTGGCGCTACAGGCCCAGTGACACAGTGTCAGTGGGCCAGGCTGCTCCTCCTTCCTTCCCTCCATTCCCTGACCCTCTCTCTGCATGCTCCAGGGCCTGCTGTATAGGTGGCTTCCCTCCTTTGTTCCATTTCTGCTGAATTGTCCGGTTGTCCAAAAATGTGGATAGATTAACTGTCTGAACCCACTTGTTCCCTCTACCCGTGTGCTACCTCATTCTTTTCCTGTTGGATCTCAGTATGGAAGAGGAATGAGCAGGGAAGTAACTAGCCTTAACCTGGCAACATCTGTGAACACAGACCCAGAAGAGGAAGCACGCTGGGCACAGTAGGCAGAGCAGGACAGCTTTCCAACGCTGCACCCATGCCTGGGCCTGCAGGACCCTGGGGAGCAATCGCAGACAGCCCGCAGCGCAGAAGGAGTGCTCCAGGTGGCCCCAATTGCAGGGTGCGCCATAACGTCCTCACACAGCCCTGCCTCCCCAGCCCTGTTCACATCTCTGGCCAGGCCTCGTGGATTCTAATGTCCCTCAAACTGCTAACAAGCTTCTGCTGCTGCCCGCATCCCCCACACGCCCACCCTTCTCTGGATGGTGGGGTGCAGCCTCCTAGTCTTCTGCTCGCGTCCAGCTATCCGTGCCAGGGCCTTGCCGCCTTTGTCACCCTCCCGGCTCACCCTCTTCTTCTAGCTCTTGGTTCCCTGATCTCTCCAGGCTTCCCGAGGATCCTCTTCCCTGGAAACCCACCTGACAGTGTCTCTGTCCTATCGCATCCTGTGCTCTGTTGTGTCCCCAGGCCCAGCACCAGCTTCATGGGCTGCCTGCAGTGGCACAAAATGAATGCCTGATGGAGAACACGGTTCCTGTGGTTCCTCATCTGTCCCTGGAAGGCTTACCAAATAAGCAGTTTATTCTGTAATTTTAGTTGCTCAAGTAGCTTGCCTTTCTATGATATCTGACTATAGGAAGTGACAAATCCTAGTGATGATGGGAACACTGTAACAGTGTCCCTTCATGAGATAAGAAAGTGGGGGAGTTCCATGTAGTCTATCCACAGGGCCGGGCCCTGGTCATTGTCCAAAGAAGGAGCCCAAGATGCCAGCCACAGTAACACGCAGGCCTGGCAGGTCCTCCCTGCATCACAGTGTCTGGGCAAGGGAAGAGGAGGCAGGGGCTGAGACAGGCTCATGGAGCAGCAGCCCTCCTTCACCCGTCCCTCCCTTCTGACCTTTGGGCACCCAGTGGTTGGAGACATGAGCCGCATCTGTGCCCTTGTCTGCACCCTGATGGCATTTTGGCACTGGTGCTCATTGTGTATGTGGCTTTCCTTTGAACTCCTTCCAAGTTCCCCAGGTCCCGTTTGTATCATGGAGCCCACAGCTGAACAGAGCCCAGTCCTTACTCCAGCTGTAGTCAGAGAATGACGTCATTCTCCTAAATGTCATGTTCCTGTTTTATGTTTCTTGGTACTGCACTTCCTTTTTAACAAGATCATTACTTGCCTGCTGTGAGTATCTATCAGAACAAATACACACTATTTAAATAGCATCGAACAGGTGCGACTTAAATCCCAGCCTTTTAATCCTAAAATTAAAGCTTTGCTTCCAGTGGTTCTGTTTCCTCAACAGTAGTGGGTTTGCTCAGATAGCAGAACCACAAATGCATTGAGCACCTGCACTGAGCAGAAGGTGGGACTGGTGTGCTGCTTGCTGGTGGAGCACCTGCACAGCACGTGCAAGGCCATGGTGCATTCCCCAGCACCACAAGATCAGTAGGCAAGTAGATCTCAGACCCAAGGGAAACTGGATAGCCAAAATACTTAGCTTATTGAAAAGTTATTGCACATAACTTAGTTCTTTTTTCATCAAAGGGTTAGTGCTAGAGTATCGTATTTTTGTGTTTTTTTCCTCTAATCTTTTCTGTAATTATTTTGGAATATACAGTCAAAAGGGAACATGTTATTTAGATTCTGTGATTGGCTTGGTCCTTCATTGTTATTTCAGGTGAGCTTTTGAGAGATGTATTCAGCTTACCTAAGTTCTGTGTCATACAGGTTGAGCATCCCTGATCTAAAATCCAAAACACTCCAAACTCCAGAACTTTTTGAACCGGGTGCAGTGGCACATGCTTATAATCCCAGCAGCTCCAGAGTCTGAGGCAGGAGGATCACAAGTTCAAGACCAGCCTCAGCAACTCACAGCAACTCAGTGGGGCTCTAAGCAAATGAGGAAGACCCAGACTCAAAACATAAAAAGGGCTGGAATGTGGCTCAGTAGTAAAGTGCCCCTGGGTTCAATCCCAGGTACCAAAAAAAAAAAAAACTTTTTGAGCGTTGACATGATGCCACAGGTGGAAAATTTCACGCATGACCTCATATGATAGGTCACAGTCGAAATGCAAGCATGGCATAGCCAAGTGTAGTACTCCACTCCTTAAGTCCCAGCTACTCAGGAGGCTGAAGCAGGAGGATCACTTGAGCCCAGGAGTTCAGGGCAGCACAGTGAGATATTGTCACAAAATTCTTTTTAATTTAAAAAAATAAATGACAGGAATACTAAAACCATTGTATGAAATTACTTTGAGGCTGTGTATAAAAGATGTATATGAAATATAAATGAATTTCAGGTTTCAACTTGGGTCCTATCCTCAAGATTGCTCATTTTATGTAAATGTCATAAAAACTGAAGAAAATTTGACATCCAAAACTGTTTTAGGTAAGGGATTCTCAACCTATACAACTGCCTCTTATAAGAAAAGTATTTCAAACCTATTTCATTCAACTTCTTGAAAATATTAATACAACCAAGCACAGTGGCACACGCCTATAATCCCATCAGCTCGGGAGGCTGAGGCAGGAGGATCACGAGTTCAAAGCCAGCCTCTGTGACTTGAGCCAGGTGCAGTGATGCATGCTCATAATCCCAGCTAGGCCCTAAGCACCATAGTGAGACCCTGTCTCAAAATATAAAAAGGGCTAGAAGGTAGCTCAGTGGTTAAGAACCCCTGGATTCAATCTCTGGTACCCAAAAAAAAAGAAAAGAAAATGTTAATATAAAGTTCATGCTCATGACATCCCATTGTAGTCAGTTTGCTTTGGATACCTCTGGGTGCTCTGCGTGGCAGGTGGTGGATCCAAGGTTAGGTGGGCAGGGCAGAGCAGGGGGCTCTTCTCATTTGCTGCACCACCCCACAGCCTAGTAGCCTAAGTCACCATCTGTCATTCCTCACAGTGCTATCGTCTAAACTGGACTCAGCAGGACTGCTCTGCTCCACATGGCATCTGCTAGGGCTGGAATGTCCAAGGTGGCTCCTCACTTGTGTCTGGTGGCTCTACTGGAGTGGCACGCATGACAGGGGCTGCTGCACGTCTCTGTCCACATGGCCTCTCTGGGTGACATGCTAGAGCTGCCACAGTTGCTGCTAGGAGAAAAGATGCAAAAGCTGCCGGTTTCCTAAAGGCTTGTTCCAGAACTGGTGTGAAGTACATCTGCCCTTTGTATTGTGGAGGCGGTCACAAGGACAGCCCAGATTGACAAGAGGGGAAACAACCACCTCTTCCTCTAAGGCAGGAACACATCGCACAGGAGGAGAGAAAGTGGTGCTGTCCATCTTGGAGACCTCTCCACAAGCAAGTTCTAGCCTAGATCTTAGGATTCTTTTCTGCTAAAGAATGAGAAACACTTCGCTTGCTCTAAAGGATTTCCATGACTTCTCCCATTCTCTCTCCTCTGGAAAAATAAGGAAGAGAACTAGCTTCATTTTCTCATTATCCTCTTCAAATTGAATTAAGATAATTAGAAATTAAGGATTGTTTAATAACAATATAGTAATGTCAGCAGAGTGTGGTAGCGCACACCTATAATCTCAGAAATTTAGCAAGACACTGTCTCAAAATGACTGAGGATATAAGGATGTAGCTCAGTGGTAGAGCATCCCTGGGTTCACTCCCTAGCACCCCCCCCCCAAAAAAAAAAAAATGTCCTGCTGGTTTAGGAAAGCCAGATGGCTCAGGGCTGAGGGCCATTCCCATGTAAATGCATACAGTGGGGGAGATGACCAGAAGCAGCACCCAAGGGGTCCCCTGCTCTGGCTCACCTCTCAGCTGCATGGATGCACTGTCCACAGAACTTCAGCCTCGTGCATTTAAACCATTATAAGTATTTCAAATAAAATAAGTAAAGGGGAGCCTTCAGGTTGAGTTTTAGAAATTGTGCTTTTCCAAATGGATGCATGCAGAAAACGGACTGTGGTTTGGTAATGCTGCATGCTCTCAGGATAGAAGCTAGAAAGAGGTGGGAGAGGCAGATGTGACCGCAGCACCAACTCCTGAGCACAGGCCAAGATTTTCTGGGCACCCTCTTGCCATGCTTTCAGACCACAGCCAAGTGCATCTTCCTGTTTCTGTGTTTGGCTGCCCAGTCCTGCTGCTTCTGGGATTAGATCTCTGTCACCGAGTGGCCATGGAGCCTTCCTCGCTGCCTTCCTACCTCTCACCCTGCCTCCCAGACCTATGTTCTTTCCCACTCCACACCCCATCTTTGTGAATCTGTCAGAAACCCTCTTTTGGAGCTCAGATCAGGCCCCGTCCCTCATAATCCTGGCCATCTGGGAGTACAGAAACATCAAGACCCATGTTCAGGCATACTTCCTATCTCTAGGTGTTTGCCTGTTCTTCACCTTAAGGTCAGTAGTCCCTTTGTTTCAAATGAAGACAGTGAAACTTCTTCTTTTTTTTTTTTTTTTTAATCTTCACAAAGATTACAAAGTTTGGCTTAAAGCAATCTCTGAATGAAAGGTTTCATCTGCTAGGCAGGGACCTTTTCAACACCTCTCACTTCATGCTGATCCTGTGCATGTATTGGTGTAAACCATCGCCAGGTGAGCCTAGGTTGGGGGCAGTAGTGGGCCTTCTGCTCCTGTGAGAGTCCCTTGGGTGAGAACTTTTCCTGTTCTCTCTTCGTATCCCCAGTTCATTTAGCAGATTTAGGCATTAAACAGATTCCAAGATTGGTCCTCGAACTGGGAGCAAAGTAGCTAGAAGTCCTTGTCCCTGCCTGGAGGGAGACAAGCTGGGGAGGCTGGGGCATGTGGTCTAGGAGCTCCTCCAGAGGCTCACGCAGGGAGCACGACAAGCAGAGGCTGCTCAGAGAAGGGACCCAGGGCTGCAGCAAACTCACTCACATTGGTACTTTGGAAAAATTGCCCTTGAAACGGCTCAGAGGAAGTGCAGGATGTCAGCAGGGAAGTAGACCACGTAATCCAAGAGCCGTTCAGGAAAGAGCTTGTTCCTGTTGCAGCGACTGTGCTGAGTAATAGAGGCCATACCAGTGAACAAGACATCCACTGTGTTGAAATGCAACAAAAATTAAGATGGATTAATGAGTGGATAGAAGGACAAACGGGTGTTCGTGTGACAAAGCAAAGAGAGCCCCTCATCAGCGGCTAGATCTGGGTGGTTGACATGTAGGTAGTCCCTCTGAAGTTCTAATTTTTCAAAATAAAATATTGGGAAGAAATCTGAGCAAGAAGAGCCCTTTACATTCAAGACATTGACGTCCCCAGGCTTTGTGAAGCTCTTTGGATTCTTGAAGGGCCACTTGGGCAGGGAGCCTCTACCCCGGAAAGTTTTCACAGATGCACCAGCCTCTTGCCACCTGGTTCCCTGGCTTCCTTCTGCAAGCTTTATTTTTTCAGAGGATTTTAGTCTTTCCAGCTGTTTAGATTCTGATTCTAACTGGCAAAATGTTTTTTCTAGATTTATTTATGAAACAGAGCATCACAATGGCATAGCAGAATTGCTGGAAATATTGGGGAGGTAAGTTTCTGTGACTGGCAGCAAAGGATGGTGGGTGGAGTATATGCCAGAATGACCCAGCTCATGGAGCTCAGCTGTCTCCCTCCCTGAGCAAGATAGCTTATCCACTCTGAGAGAAGGGACTTGGAGCCGGTGAGCTCTTGGGTTAGAGCACGCCAGATGGAGGCTCCATCTAGGCTTTTGGTTGTATCCAGGTTCCGTTTCATACACCTCAGTGTCGATACTGGAACTGCATTTCTGCGGGAGCAATGTAATTACCTGAAGCAGGGTGCAATGGTGCACGCCTGTAATCCCAGGGGCTCGGGGGGCTGAGGCAGGAAGATCGTGAGTTCAAAGCCAACCACAGCAAAAGCAAGGCACTAAGCAACTCACTGAATAAAATACAAAATAGGGCTGGAGATGAGGCTCACTGGTCAAGTGCTCCTGAGTTCAGTTACCTGAGGTTTATATTAGATGCTTATTAGAAGGTTTACACTTGGGGTATTGCGTATTAATGTACGCAATATCTCAAATTGTTTTGATTTTGTGGATTTTTCATAAATATATATATATATGTACACACACACACACACACACACCTGTAAAGTAATTGCCATTTCAACTTTTCATCATCTTAATCCAGATAAAGTTCTCCATTACTGTCATTCTTTTAAAATCCGTAGTCTGTAGATTTTATATTAGGCCTCCAAATCCACTGTTGCAGAGTTCCTCAGGGTTCCAAGGTCAATGGCTTGGGAGTGCTTTTCCACTCTGCCTTTGATGTGCAGGAGCGGCTTGGGGTTCTGAGGAGCCTGCAGTAAAGAAACCTGTTCTCATACTGAATCCAGTGGTCCCCACAGCATTTGAACACAGAATCTCATCTCACAGACACTGTTGTCTGGTCCTGAGCAAGAGTTCTGAGAAAAACTTGGCTTCTGTTTTGGATGTGGTTTGAAAAAGCTCAGTCCCCATTGGGAGTTCTCTTAGGTTAGTGTCCACATGCTGGACAGGGTCTCTCAAAGCATGGCATAATGTGGTTGAGGATTGTTCCTTCCCAGTTGCACAACCTGGGACAAGTTCCTTCTTTCAAGTGGGAAGGATGATCACGTCCCCAGTCAGGTGCCAAGGAGAGGGCATGTGCTTTGCAGGTGTGAAGGCCACTGTGCTGCTCTCACTCCTGCCATCTGGTTTTTATCCTGGGGTTTGCCCAGGGGTTTTCCCATGTGAACAAGCTTAGGGCCCCAGCGGGTACCCACTGCACCCTAAGCTCGTGGATTGTGGAGGAGCATGTTAGAATTGCTGTAACTGCTCTGTAACTCTCAAACATTTATCTGCATTTGCCTAGTTATAAGAATAAATAATTAAACCAGTTGATGCTTGAGACTAAAACTTGAGTTTGGAGACCTTTGCCCTTTCCTTGCACAAGGGAGCAGCTTTCTAACTGATTTTTGACCAGCCATTGTGCCCACACCTGGATTCTGTGGCCAACACTACAGTGAGCCTGGATACTCCAGGGACACCTTCCCAAAAGAGAGACGCAGCCCAAAAGAAGAGCTGGGACCCCTCAGCTGTGCAGACTTTCTTCCCCCAGGACCCCTGTAGTACAGCCAGTTTCCTGCTCCTGAGCCACTCCCTATAAACCCAACTTAATCATTACCTTGTAATCACAAGGATAAAAATGGTTATACTTCATCAAATATATTTATTTTATATTCTGCTGATTCATATGAAATACATATTTTGTCTACTAGATTTTCATGCTAGAAAGAAAAATACAATATTTGATTGTAATCTGAAATTTGTAAATATTTAAACTTTGAATAAATTCTTTCTTCACAGTATAATTAATGGATTTGCCTTACCACTAAAAGAAGAGCACAAGATTTTCCTGTTGAAGGTGTTGCTACCTTTGCACAAAGTGAAATCTCTGAGTGTCTACCATCCGCAGGTAAGGGGGCAGGCATGAAGACATGCCATCATCAGAACCCAGGGCAGGGATCCAGCCTGTTCCCAGTGTGTTTTCTTTCTCATGTCACCACCTTCTGTAATAAGGCCCTCGCAGTAATCGAATAAGAAGCAAAGAGAGATTGCCTCTAAAATATTCAGGAAAATCTCTGAAATACATAATAATACGATTCACTTTTAGCATAGAAAAGGGAGTAGCTGCCTCTGCAAAAGGAGGCGAAAAGGACTACCAGACGACAGCTGTCTGTCGCAAAGTCTAGTAAGACAAAAAAAAAAGACTGGATTTCTAAGATACAGATCTGACCAGAGAGTGCTGCAAGATCAGCCAGCAAGTGGTTCCATCTGGTTAGGTAGCTCTGTTGGCCTGGGAGACTAAGTCTCCTCCGCTCTGTGACCTCAGTGCTGGCGGTTCAGGAGGGCTCCGCCTTGAGCAGCAGGCCACTGCACGTGCATCCTTGGCGGTCACCACTGTTAGTTCCACCAGTCAGTTGCTGCTAACTGGGGTATTTTTACATTCAGTTTGTTGTTGTATTAATTGTACAAAAGGAATTAATAGTTCAGAGATTTCAGATGGAACCAGATTTTAATTTGTTCCCAGCTGTTTGATTTCTTGTTCACACTAATCTCCAGAAGGACCGCAAGGAAAGCCCATCGTACTGGGTCATCTTGGTCATCTTGGTGGGTGGGTAGTGTAAAAGGTGCTCTTTTTTTTTTTTTTTTTTGCTTTCAGATCATTACCAACTAATTGGGAAAGAGCAGGGGTCCTGGGGTCCCTCCCTGAGCATCCCACTCAGAGCCCTTGGGGTGGGTGAACACCCTGGGGCAGCCGCTCAGCCACATCAAGCTGTCTTGTCAGAGAAGGGTGTGAAGGGGACGTTTCCACACTGCAGCCAGGTGCTCACTCTCTCTCATCCCTTTTCAGCTGGCGTACTGCGTCGTGCAGTTTTTAGAGAAGGACAGCACCCTCACTGAACCAGTAAGTGTGCTCTCTCAGGCCCGACCGCCTTGCCTGCTCTCCTCCTCCCCTCGAAGCACCCCCGCCTCACCAGCGTGTGGATTAATTCACTCTAGTAACCTACAAGCTGGTCTCATTTGAGCTTGACAGGTTTTCAGAGTGCGGTTGTTTTCACTGCGAGGTCCTTTACTGTGTGGTTCTGCTACGTGATGAGCTTGCCCTGCCCACGCTGTGCTTCACACCTGTGAGAGCAGAGCACTGAGCAGCTACAGCCCCCAGCCGTGCATGCTCAGGCCTTCACATCAGTGCAGACCTACAGCATGTCCCGACTCCAGTTGGAGGTGGCTTAGTGAGAGTGTGAAATGCTTGTTTTATACAAGAGGTTGTATTATCCTGAAGATTCTTTCCAAGTTAGGGTGTAGCTGTTCTATGAGCTTTGAATTACAACTCAAAACTAGATGGATGCCATTCAGTTTTGGATTTCTAATTTTCTTGGCATTTTATCTTCATTAAAAAATAAAAAAGGCTATTGTAGCCAAGATTAACAGAATCAGGCGTGTCAAATGATAGTTTCAGGATTTGAAACAGCTTTGTTAAGATATAATTCACTTACCATACATTCACTTACCATTTAAAGTGTACAAAGATTTTTGGTATATTACAATACTGATTTTTTTATTGTGGTAAAAGATATACATCTGGAACATAAAATGTTGCCTTTTCAACTACTTGAAGTGTACAGTTCAGTGTCAGCAAGTATTATGCAACCACCACCAGTGTGTTTCCAAAACTTTGCCATGCTACCAAACAGGAACTCTGTCCCTGGTCCATGATGACTTCCCACCCCTCTCCCAGCACCTGCTACCTGAATCAGTCTCTCCTGAAGCTGACTGCTCGGGTTTCTCAGGAGAGTGGAGCCTGCTGTACTCCTCCTCTCCCATGGTGCAGTGCCTCACAGGCTTCGCCCATGTTGTAGAACATCGCTCCTTGTTGTGGCCGCATAGTGCTCTATTGTCTGCACAGACCACACTTTACTCCCCGTCTACCCATCAGTGGACACTGGTGGCCCTTCCTCTGGCTGTCATGAATGATGCTGCGTGAACAGGGTGTCGACTGTCTGCTCCAGCCCTGCTTTCAGTTCCTCAGGGTGGGCTCCTGGGGTGGGACTGCTGGTTACATGGGGACTGTCTGTTTTTCTGAGGCTACCCTGTTTTGCACTTGGGGTAGCAGCTATGGAAAATAGCATGGCAAGGATGCAGGTGCTTGTTTTCCTTTTTGTTTTTTGTTTTGTTTTGTTTTTAATTTTTAGTTGTTGATGGATCTTTATTTTATTTGTTGTTTGTGGTGCTGAGAATCAAACCCAGTGCCTCACGCATGCTAAGCAAGCACTCTACCACTGAGCCACATCCCAGCCCCCTTCATTTTGTTTTTAATTGTCACTCCAGCCATCCTGGTGGATGAGAGGTGGCACCTGTTATGACTTTAGTTGGTGCTCCTCTACCAACTAATGGCTTGGGCTGTCTTTTCATATTCCTCAGCCATCTCTGGAGAAATGTCTGTTTCAAATGCATTGCACTTTTTAAAAACCAAGTTGTTATTCCTTATTGAAGAGCCAAGAAAGGAGCATCAGGTGCCAGTTTAAATATTTGAGTCCTCTTTTTCTAAAAAGCTTCTGTTAGAATTGAAAAGATAGATACTACAATTCCTGAGTCCTTAGTCCTATTAGCTATTCTTCACGGTTTCCTTGTGAGATTATAGTTTTTCTAATAAAAATGAGTGAGAAATTCTTCACAAATTCCCAAGTTACACTGACTTTTGGTCACTGCCTCCACGTTATTAAATTCTATATGTAATCCACCCCCAACCCCAGCTCTCCCATGAAATTCAGGAAAAGCTCTCATTCTGCAGATTTCAGAGGCAACAGCCTGCAGTGCTGCATGCCAGACCTGCCAGCAGCCCTCACGGGTGCCCTGTCCTGGCCCTCTTCTCCCCTGGTCTCCAGATACCTCTGCCTCTCCTCTAAATGAGGTTCAGGAAGACCACAAGGAATATGCCAGATCATATCAGACTTCAGAAGAAGCATGGTTAAGATTCTTAGTCAAATTTTCTGTGAGGATGTTATTTTTATCCTCTTCACTGGACTGCAATCATGTTAGGTAGAGAAGAGAAAAAAGAAAGTGTTATTAATTTAAAAACGTGGGTAGACCACCTGCCTAGTGTGTGCCAAGGCTGTGGGTTTGGTCACACAGCACCACCCACTGGTGGGTGGCAGGGGGCTATAGTATTTTCCCCCCTGGTTATATGCCCTAATCCTCCATCTATTTGATGTTTTTCCTGAAGAAAGTAACATGCAAAGAAGTTCCACCAGCCCCACCCCATTCTTCCATTCAAACCAAAGGAAAAGAAAGATATAGGAGAGGAAAAAGTACACAAAGTATTGTGATTTTTCTTTGTACACTTTTCTCATACTCTTTTTTTAACTGTGCTTTGAAAACATTCTTTACCATAGCATGCACCTTAGTAGGAAAGATGGGGAAATTCACAGTTCACTCTTTTATTTGCTTTTGAAAAGATCTTCAGAATACAGCTAGTAAGTGATTGTTGAGTGACACATACTCTTATCAAGCAAATCTTGTCCCTTAGTGGTAATCCATGGGAGTAGGAAGAGATGAAAATGATTTCCATTCTTATATCCTTAAAATGTGCTTTTTTTTTTATTCTAATTTGTTATATGACAGCAGAATGCATTTCAGTTTCTCATACTCTTTAATGGCTAAAGAACTCACCAAATGTCTCACCCCGTTTACTACAGCCTGAAACTTCTCCCACCCGTCACCTCCCACAACACCCTGCCTGCCAGCCGCTGTCACCTGAAGCCCTGGCCGCTGGAGCTCAGTGTGCAGGCTCCACCCTATCCCCTCCCACCTGGGAGTTGGTGTAAGCTGATGAAGTTTGTAAATGACTTTAATTCCCACTTATATAGGAAGTAATCAAGCACATGACACGTGGCAGAGCGAGAGCTTGACTGCCACAGTCTTGAAGAAGGCAGGAGCCATGTGGCCTCGCTTCTAAGCTGTCATGCTGAGCTCTGGCTCAGCATCAGCACAGACAAGCCACAGACCCAGTCCCTGGCATGTCCACCCAGGACCACTTCGTTTCTTAATTCTGCTGCACAGATAATGTAACAGTACTCTCCTGCCTACGTAAAGCAGATTTAATTTTCTATATATTAAAAACATTCAGATCCTCACCTCAATGAATTTCTTCCTTTGAAATTAATGATTTAGGAAAATACAAAGGCCATTGTGTCTGACTTCAGCAGTAGAAACTAACCAGGAATGCAGTCCAGTCGTGGACTCTGAAGGTGTGCCTCCACTTGAGTACCTGGAGCTACCTTTCCAGGCTCAAGAATACTTTTTTGAAGTATGGTCCACTCGAATATTACAATTTTATAAAGGAGATTTGTCCTGTTTGTAACCTACAGTTAATGTCATCTCATTTCACATGGTAGGCCATGCTCACAAGCTTCTGGGCACATTAAACCTATTTATCATTGTAAGAATAAAGGCTCATTAGAGAGTTTACAGACAAGTATTATGCCTGTTTTCACCCACCTGCCTCTTGGCTAATCGAGTTTTACTACACGGCCTGGTGCAGCTCTTTTGCCTGAGTGCACCAGGACAGGGAGCTTCCTAGGGCTTGAGGCCATGCCCAGAGCCATACTCACCAGGACTGCTCACCCTCCAGAGGGCAGGTAGTCCATTGGGTTTCCAAGGAAGCTCAGTGCCCAGAACTGTAGGCAAGTAGCCTTTTGCCCAGGATTAGCAGTCCGTGAGTGGATACCTCCTCTACAAAATCCCACCATGTTCAGGAGCAGCTGAGATGGCTGAGTACTGATCACAGGGGTTTCAAGAAGCAGGAGGAATAAGTCCAGTGCGTGAACCTGATTGTACAACTAATATCTTTTCCAGTGAAATAAATAGCTAAATCAGTTGTTTTGTGTAACTCAAAAATTAATATATTTCTCATTATAATATTCCATTGGCAGACATAAAGGCTTATGAAGTGATTTGTAATCAGCGTCTTCGTAACAATAATTCCAGCATGCAGAATAGGTAGTTAATAAATATCTACTAAACAATTTTGAGCTACAAGTAGAAGGTAAATGATTAAATGATGCACTTTTAGAAATAATTCCTTTAAGACAGTTTTGTTGTTGTGAATTTTTATGTCAGACTTCAAAACTAGGAACACTTTTTTTTTTTTTTTCAGTACTGGGGCTGGGACCAGGGCCTTGTGCATGCCAGGCAAGCACTCTGCCACTAAGCTATAACCTCAATACAAAGAGCACTTTTTTAAATAAAGGCTGAAGTTTCATGAAACATAATATTATAAACAATTACCCAGGAACCCAAGTGCTAAAAGCATCACACAGAATTATTCTAGGTGTGCACTGTGGGGCACTCCTGTAATCCCAGGAACTCAGGAGGATCTAGGAGGATTACAAGTTCAAGGCCAACCTGGGCAACTTAGCAAGACCCTATCTCAAAATATAAAACAAAAGGGTCTGGATTGTGGCTCAGTGATAGAGTGCCTCTGGGTTCAGTTTCCAGTACCACAGAAAGGAAGGGAGAGAGGGAGAAGTGAGAAGGAAGAAAAGCTTCCCCTGCAGAATCCCTTTCTAGCTGTCTAACTTGAGCGAGGAACAACATCCACAAATCAGGAACCCCTGTGGTCTGATTGGGTGGGGCTCCAGGCCAGAGTCACTACTGCCACATGCTCCTGCTGGCTGAGGGCCCACAGGCAAGCAGTGGAGCCAGTGAGGACCCTGCCCAGGTCTGCCACGCACCCTGGGTGAGTTGGCATCTGCTTGGTTCACTGCACTCTTCTTGATGCTTTTTAACACAGTTACAAACTGTTCCACATGCATACATGTGTGGGTGTGCATAAATACATCAAGTGTTCAGTTAATCTGAGAAGTGGATTGCACGTGCCTGGACATGTTGGCAATAGTTTCATATCTGGCCACTTCCACCCCAGAATGCACAGATGAAGGCATATGCTCTGCAAGGTCTCCTCTAGTCTTTGACAGAATTCTCCTAACTGCTAGCAGGTTTTGTTTTTTGTTTTGTGTCTTTTTTTTTTTTTTTTTTAATTAAAGGAACTGACTTACTGAGATGGTGGTTGATCAGAGAGTGGGTCACATAAATTAAAACTGTGAGTCTGAAGTAAAATTAGGCCTGTTTATCAAATTATAAAATACTTCTTGTGAATTACTGAGTCTGATCGTCCCACCAGAGGCCAACACCACCTCTGTGCTGCTCTGCAGTGGGGGGCCCCTGACTAGACAGAGACTCTGCCTGCCCAGGTGTGGCAGCTTAGGGGCGTCACTTCCCATGTCATTTCTTTTATAGGTGGTAATGGCACTTCTCAAATACTGGCCAAAGACCCACAGTCCAAAAGAAGTAATGTTCTTAAATGAATTAGAAGAAATTTTAGATGTCATTGAACCCTCGGAGTTTGTGAAGATCATGGAGCCTCTCTTCCGGCAGTTAGCCAAGTGCGTTTCCAGCCCACACTTCCAGGTATGTGGGTTTCGGAGAAAGATAATTAGATGATTTCAGAATGTTACTTTTGGAAATAAAACATTCCAGTATATAACTGTGGTTTGCTTCTCATATAATTTTAAGGTAAAATTCAAGTTTTTACTTTAATCATACTTCAAAAATAAGGTGAAAAAAACTTTATTTCTAAAAACTATATCCTAGAACCTTGTCCTCACCACTGAAAGCATTTTTCTCAATAAGAGCTATGAAAAGCAGCTTCTCTGTGAAAGTGTCATCAAGCTCCGAGTCCCCCAGACCACCTGACCTTGTTTCCACAGCTGACTGATCAGTAGTGATAGATGATGTGATGTTCAGAATCTCCAGGTCTGAAATTCTTTTTCCCTGTAAGTTTATTTCTGACATCATATGTCTCCCCTTACACTTAAAAAATTAATAATAATGTTTCTAGTCAGGAGTGGAAGTGCACACCTGTAATCCCAACAACTCAGGAGGCTGAGGCAGGAGGATTGCAGGTTCAAGGCTGGGCTGGGCAACTCAATGAGTCCCTGTCTCAAAATAAAAAATAAAGAAGAAGCTGGGCACACACCTGTAATCCCAGTGGCTCAGGAGGCTGAGGCAGGAGGATCTCGAGCTTGAAGCCAGCCTCAGCAACAGTGAGGTGGTAAGCAACTCAGTGAGACCCTGTCTCTAAATAAAAATACAAAATAGGGCTGGCAATGTGGCTCAGTGGTCGAGTGCCCGCGAGTTCACTCCCCAGTACCAGGAAGGAAGGAGGGAGAGCAAGGAAGGAAGGAAGGAAGGAGGGAGAGCACTTGCTTAACATGGCGATGGTCCTGGGTTCCATCCCTGGTACTACTATTACTACTAATACTAATAATAAATTGCTGATGTTAAAAACTGAAGAATAATTCAAAATTTAAGCCATTAAGCATCTCAAACTTCTACTTTCAAATTTAGACTTAAAATATTACCACAAATATATTTATGGATGTATGGGTGTTTTTTAAAACTCAAAGTATCCAACTCTTAAATAGGAATGATCCTAGAAGCTACTGATGCTATCCTGATTCCTTTATAAATTAATGCTCTCTGTTCTCAAACATCTTTCCCTCCCCTTCATCATATTCACCCAGATTCTGAAAAGCTCACCCACCTGGCTTTCTCTGAGAAATCACCCCTGATTCTTGAGCCCTCCACAGGCCTCACCCACCATACCCTCAGCATCTGCCTGCACCACCACACATGAACTCAGAATCTCTAGGTTTCTGGTGACAGAAATGCCATCTCTGCTTTGCTCTGAGCTTCTGAGGACTGCTGCCAGATCTGCACACTGAGATGTGATGTTGGGAAGTAGTTATGGAGGCGGGTCGACTCTACCTAGGGAAGCACATGCCAAGTCAGGGATGGGCCACGTGTCCTAGTGGCTACCACACACTCTGACTCAGATGGTTCTGCAGAATGTGCATGGGTGTGGCTGTCAACTACAGCCGGACAGCAAGGAGGGCCAAGGTGCACAGCCACAGTCCTAGGTGGAGGGATGTGGGTGCTCATACAGCTTTGTGTGTTGGAAGTTTTTAGTAATGAATATTACTAAATAATAATAATGGGCCCTCCCACAGCTTCCTTCTCACCAGAGTGTGGGCTCTGAAATGCTGCTTTGGGGTCTTAGCTCCCCGTCCCCCTTGCTGGTTCCTCCCCTACTCCTTCCTCCTCACTCTTAGGACCTGCCCTCCCCCAGGGCCTGGCTCACATGTCACCTTCTCCATGCTGAAGTCCCACCCACAACCCACTCGCCTGCCCTTCCCTGCTGCCTTTCTCCATGACTCATCATTTCTAGGAAATCAAATAATCACTGTCCTTTGTCTGCTCCTCTCCAGAACATAAGCTCTGCAGAGTCAAGCATTTCTGCCTGCCTTCATCCACTGCCGTATGCTCAAGCTGAACACATGTCATATACTAGCAACTAATGATGTTGGTGGGGGTATGGAGAAATAGATAGGTGGATGGGTGAATGGATGGATGGATGAGTAGAATGAACTTATTTGCTTTGTATCCTGAGCATCTAACCTAATATCTAGCATAAATTGAATAAATGGAGAGGTGAATGACGACGTTCTTCATTTCTTCATAATAAGAAATTATCTGCTGCCCCATTGTTGTAGGCTCTTTAAGGTTACAGTCTAGAATATTTTGAAATAATTAATTTTCTGATGCATTGTAACTCGTTATCCTGTTTATAGGTTAACAGTGAGGATATTTGCCTCCTGTGCTGGAGCATGAACACCAAGGACACTAACGCATCCTGTCTTCCAGGTGGCAGAGCGAGCACTGTATTACTGGAATAATGAATACATTATGAGTTTAATTAGTGACAATGCAGCAAAGATTCTGCCCATCATGTTTCCATCCTTGTACCGCAACTCAAAGACCCATTGGAACAAGTAAGAAAGAATGGGCTCTCTCTCTTTCCTGCATATTTTTAAATGTTTATGTTTTTCTGTTACTGCAATAAGAATGTAAATCCAAATTTTAATATCAGTTTAAAATTATGTTGATTTTTTTGAGGTTTTTAAGTTACACATGTAGAGTGTCTGCATTGGCTTTTGTTTTGCTTCCTTACTCCTATTTCAAGCCAAAACAGAGGACCCTGTGTCTGCACCCTGCTGGTTTCAGTAGCTGCACCTTCCACACATTTCCTGAGTGCCCCCAGGGGAGTTGAAGGTCACTGCAGAGCTTGGGCTCAGTGCTGTGAGAAGCACAGGGGCCAACCTGCTGACAGACCCCCTGGAGCCCCTCTGTGAGACCGGGAGCCATCCTGCTGTGGTCACTGCCTGGAGGGCCAGAGGGAAGAGCAGGCATCTTTAACACACCTGAGGAACTGAGAATATCTACTTCTCTCCTTCATCTTTTCACTTAATGAAGGTGAAGAAATGGAGTCTCCCAGTGACAGCCTTCTGAGACCTTAAAAGGAAACTATCCATGTGGGTGCTGCATTAGGATTAATACTGAACTTAATACTCGTGTTATTCAAATAAATGTGGGTACCAGAGTTTTTCTTTCTCCATCTTTTTTTCTTTTTGTGTTATCATAAATTAGAATTTAAATCAGGGCCACGCACAGTGGCACACACCTGTAATCCCAATGACTCAGGTGTACTGCTATAATCCCAGCCACTCAGCAGACTGAGGCAAGAGGATCACAAATTCAAGGCCAGCCTGGGCAATGTAGTGAGACCCTATATCAAAAATTGAAAGGGCCTGGGATACAGACAGCTTCAAGCTGTACACCTGGGTTCAATCCCCAGTACAAAAAAAAAAAAAAAAAAAGAAAGAATTTAAAGCAATAAGGGCAGAGCTGTGATAGCTAGATTCCTGCTTGTCCTGTAGACAGGAAAGCAAACTGGAAGGGACCACACACGATCCTGTAGTCCTAAAGCTGGTCAGCAGCTCCCTGGCTCCAGTGTGGTCTCCTAACCCGCAGTGTCTGCCATGTAGTGCTCCTACTTCCCATGGCCAACCCTCTGCGGAGCTCTGTCCTGCCCACTTGAGGCTGCAGGCCACATGGCTTCTTTCCCAGAGTAAGCCCAGGGCAGCAGGCTTGCTCTGTGTTTTTCTGCCTGACACTCTGGGGCAGCAGGGGCCATCCAGGTGGTGAGCAGAGAGCAGGCAGGTCAGAAGCAAGCTCCACCTGGGCAAGGTGAACCTCTAGGTCTTCCCCAGCCACGTTTCCTCAACTGAAAAATAGAGAAAATACTGACACTCACCACATTGTTTTGCTGTTTAAGGTAATGCCTGTATATATTAAGTGTTTGTTTTGTGGCCCCCTTTGCCTGCTTGAAGACTTCCTAAAGCCAATATACATAAAATGCCTGGCATGAACAGGCCTCCAGTGCATGTGGCCCTAGCTTTGCAGTTGCAGGTTTAGCCAGGTGCGGGCCTCCTGTCATGGGAGTTGTAGTGTTGAACCCAGGGGTATTTTCCCCACTTTACCACTCGTCACATCACCAGCCCTTTTTATTTTTATTTTGAAACAGGACTCACTGAGTCACTGAAGCTAGTCTCAGACTTGAGACCTTCCTGTCTCAGCCTCCCAAGCCCCTGGGGTGGCAGCATCCTTCATCCAGTCCAGCAGGATAGTGACTTCCAGTGACCTTTGTTTTGAAGCACTTAGGGTTTTTACTGAGCACAGCGGGTGATGGCAGAGCCCCAGTCTGGCCATACTCCTGCACATGTGTGCAGCATGACGCCAGAGCAAAGCTGGTGGCTCCATCCTGCTTTTGCAAAGAAGGAAGCATTTTCTAAGATAAAGGAGTTTCATTATGAAGATTAAAAAGTGGTTATGGTTTGGCACTCAGTCCCCTTCATTTTGTTTGCTATTTTATTGCTGCTCACAACTGTGGGTCAGTGGTGCTCTGCTGGGCAGTTTCCTTGCTCTTCTCAGGGCTCTGCATAGATTCAGCGACAGCTGGGCCCCTCCTCCTCCATGTGCATCAGGCCAGAGAGCTAAGCTTTGATCGAGCTCTTTTATGGTCTGCTTCCACATTATTTTTGGTTTTCTTTTTTTTTTTTTTAAGAGTGGGAGAGAGAGAGAGAGAGAATTTTTTTTTTTAATATCTATTTTTTAATTCTCGGCGGACACAACATCTTTGTTTGTATGTGGTGCTGAGGATCGAACCCGGGCCGCACGCATGCCAGGCGAGCGCGCTACCGCTTGAGCCACATCCCCAGCCCGTTTTTTTTTTTTTTTTTTTTTTTTTTAATATTTATTTATTTATTTTTTAGTTTTCGGCAGGCACAACATCTTTGTTTGTACGTGGTGCTGAGGATCGAACCCGGGCCGCACGCATGCCAGGCGAGCGCGCTACCGCTTGAGCCACATCCCCAGCCCCAGTTTTCTTTTTGTTATTTGTTGACTTTGAGGTTTCTTTTTGTTTTATTTATTGTTATTTGGGGGCAGGGTTGCAGTGCCTGAAATTAAACCCAGGACCTCATACGTGCTTAGGCAAGTGCTGTACCACTGAGCCACACCCCAGCTCCTGGCATCGTTAAAATTATCCTCAATGAATAAGATTGAAAGGAAACTGACATTTATAGACATTTACTTCTGTATTGTATTGTCTTCATTATATTTCTTGGGGTTTCAACATTTTTAAATCAGTTTCCAAGCAAGATGGCTTTGGCTGCTTGTAGCCAGGTGGTGAGCTGAGTGGCCTGTGTGGGGGGCTCCTAGACTGAGTAGCAGACCCCAGGACAGATGGGAGTCAGACCACAGGTCTCCCCTGTTGAGGACTAGGAAGATGGGAGTGGGACTGTTGAAGTCCACAGTAGCCTGAGAAGTCTGAAAGAGGAAAGTGGGGAGGGAGAATGACCCAAAGGTCCAATGTTGCGTCTCACTGTGTAATCTTCTATGCAGGACGATACATGGCTTGATATACAATGCCCTGAAACTCTTCATGGAAATGAACCAAAAATTGTTTGATGACTGCACACAACAGTTTAAAGCAGAGAAACTGAAGTAAGTTGTTCCTTTTGCAAGTTGCTGTTTCCAGGGTTCTGGAATAATACTGAATAAGCCTCCACCATTGTTCCATTCTAAAAAAGTCGTTCTTAGCTTTAGATCAGTACTGGTCCTCTCATATGTGGAAAGCAAACTAAAAGTTAGTTAAGGTGAGTTATTTTCAAGGAAAACAGGTTAAAAAGTTGGCCGTCCTCCCTTCTGTGGTTAGTCAGTCATCTTTGCAGATGAGAGTGTGTATGTGATCAGGAATCTAGCATTTGGGGTGGCTGTCAGGTGTAGTCATTTGTCATGCTTATAAGGCAGGAATTAGAATCGCATCCTGAAGGGTTTATGAGAGAGCAAGAACCCACACTTCAGCATAGCTTTTTCTAATTAATCATCTCCATAACGTGGGCATCCTCAGGAACCTTCTGTCCTTGACAAAGTTAGGGTTCTGCTTTTGTGCCTTTGAGAACTTCAGAGCTCACATCTGCCCAGGGACAGCCTGGGTGACAAGGTGCTCTATCCCTAGGCCAAGCTCAAAATCATGTGGTTGGTTAGTAATTGAAAGTCACTCTTCAGAGTCGAGTGCAGACTGTTGGCAGATTTTATTCTTTGCTTGGCACTTAAAACTGGCTAGGGTAGATAAACTTTGAATTTCTGTAATTCACATTACAAAATGTCTGTGTGGCCAACTTATTCATTCTTTAGACAAATGTGTGAGTGTAACATGTACTGCAGACTCTGTTTTAGTTTCTAACAATACGGCCGTGAATACAACAAATGAAATCATTGCTGTGACAGAATTTGTATTTTGCGTAAAGAAAGTAAAAGAGAACAAAATACAAAAAAAGTGAAGTATAAGGTATGTGAGATGACAGCAAAATAAAGGCACCAGGCCATAAGGAGGCACAGTGACCCTCTTCCAGCCTTCCAGCCTGTGCTCCTCCTTATCTGAGGGCTGAGGTTGCATGCAGGTAGGGAGTTTCTAAGCATCATGGCTTCTCTAGTGGCACATCCTCCCTTCAGGGAATCAGTACTCTGAAAAAGGCCTTCAAGCTCCTCCTAGTACATTTTTCTGCATTTGAAAAAAAAAAAAAAAGTAGACAAATTCATTGTCTTCCAGAAGGTCTTATGATTCTTAACAGCAAAATCAGACAAGAAGCCAGGTCTCCTGGCTCCCAGGACTATTCCCTGGTGACCCATCAGTACTGGAATGCCGACTCTTGCCAGCTTGCTTCCTTCCAATCTGTGATGGAGTCTGGTTCTCAGTGAATGAGTAAGCTCCTCATTAGAGTAGTCTAGGTCCTCTGAAGAAGCACCTGACCCCAAGAATGCGAATATCACACTTGAATGAGTGAAGAATTTAAATTCTCAGACTTATTAAATTTTTAGCATTTTTCATTGTTTAATCTTCTAAATCTCAGCCAGTTTTTAATTTCATTGTTCACATTATGCACCTCTTGAGAAGCACTGTGAGGCGTGTGGACTAAGACCCAAATAACAAGAAGAAACAGTGGTGTCACGGCTCTCTCCCTGCTTTCCCTCCTGTGTGTCGTCTTCAGTATCAACCATCTCTAATACAAATAATGTTTTACTATTTTTCAGAGAGAAGCTAAAAATGAAAGAGCGAGAAGAAGCATGGGTTAAAATAGAAAATCTAGCCAAAGCGAATCCCCAGGTACTAAAAAAGAGAGTAACATGAAAATGTCAAGGGTGTTGCTTGACTGCCTTATCAGATAGGGGCGTGGCTGGGCATGGGAATTGGCTCTCACCGACATTGTATGTGGAAGTGTCTGCAATAAAGGAATAATTTTCACCTTCATGACCCTCCTCTTGTACAAGTACTTATTTTGCCCCATAACGTTTTACCACAGAAATGACATTTTTCTACTTTTAAAAGAAGATATCAATCTTATGAAACATACTGTGGTAAAAAGAAAATCAGGATACAGCCTCTACTCCAGGATGTGGTTTGTTTTCTCATATGTCTTATGTGCAATAGCTCAAACCATGTTTCCCTTTTTTTTTTTAATATTAAATTAATTCTAGAAGTAAGAAAATTGAATTGAAATAGATACAGTGGGAAGATGATGTCCTCTTTCCTGAAATAAGATTTCTATAAGCTTGGTATTTTGTTGTTAAAAATTAACCAAATTCTGCCTTTTAGCACTAACCCTCCTCTTACCCCAGCCAGGAGCCATGCGCTGGTGTCTTCGGAACCCCCCAGTCCAGCATTGTCTCCTGCAGCATCAGCCCCTGGGTGGGCTCCAGGGCTGCTGTGGTCCTGGAGGTGCTCACAGTCATTGCCTTTGGGTTTGGCGTGCACTAGTCTAAGTAATTGGCAAGAGGTGGCTGTAAATGGTCCCCCTTGCCCTCTGCCTTTCTGTATAACAGTGCCACTTAATGAAAATCACTAGGAACTCCTAGGCCATCTCAATTCCCCAAAGAAAATACCTTATTAAACAATGTATTTCTTTTGGTGAGGAAGATACATGATCATTCTCTAAATTGGGATGTAGGTTTTTAACTCTTGACATTTGATACAGGAATATAAAGTTTGCAGTAGGTATTTTACCTATATAAAAACAAGTTGACCTATATTCCCTTTGATAAAACTGTAATCAAGAGACAGCAAACCATGGGAAACTGAATGACATTCTCAGTCATGTGTCCTTGATTCTACCTAAACCAGTAGCCAGCATTTTTCTAAAAGTATTTTATCCACGTTCTTACAGAGAAAAATGCTCTTTTGAGACTACTTTGAGAAACTTAACTGAGGTAGATAACTGTAGTTATCTGCTTTAGTAAATAGAGTTTATGTTCCAAGTGAAATTCAGTAAGTCTGGGGCAAGTTTAGGTGGTTCAACCCTGCCTGGTGTATGCCCTGAGAGCCTCAATTTGTTCTGAAGGGCCCCGGCTGAAGGAGTGTGGACAGGTGTTCACACCATCCAAATCAGCAGCCTTGAAAAACTTGCAAAATATGTATGAATCAGAGCATCTGGTTGTTTTGTTGTTGTTTGTTTGTTTTGCTTTGCTTTACCTGGAATATAGAAATAACCCATTGAACAAGCTGCATAAAACTTTTGTGTTGCAAATGAAGATCCTGTGGCTGCGCCAGCGTAGTGGCCTGTGTGCTCTGCTGAGCTGTGCTGCTGCAGGGGAGGCCTCAGCACTCCCTTCCCCAGTTTGCTCGGGTGGCTTGCTTATTTCCTTGGTTCCTGTTGACACTGTGACAATCACTAACAGTGCCGAGTTTGGCCTTAGCACTCTGGTGATCTCCCTGTTCCTCCATCCTCACCCCCCATCTCTGTGTGACCCATCATGAGTCCCTCGTGCATGCCTTAGCTCCATGACATTGTCTCCAAGTGGAAAATACTTCATGAGCTAAATGTCAGAACTGAAAATGCAGCCTCAGAACTCACTTTTCAGTGAGAAAAAGCCTTCCTAAACGCGGGTCGCTGCCTGACTCGCGGCGCGGTAGAGTCTGGTGGATAACACAGTATGTGTCTTATTTCTCTAAGAAAGATGGTTGGGTTTTGAAGCTCGATTCCTTCTCGATCTGCCTTGGTGAGAGTTGGTTTGCTGGCTTCACTTTCTGAAGGTAGATCCTGTCATTCACAATCTGCTCGCTCTCCCTGGTGCTCACCTCCATGTTTCACAAACCAGGATCTTATCCCCTCAGACAACATGGAGCACCTGGCTGACAGGGCTTTGGAGCTATTGCACCTCCGGAGTTTTATCCCGTTGTCTTAGCAGTTGTGGTAGCTTCACTGGAGTTTCTTTTTTTTTTTTTTTTTTTTTTTTTAAAGATAGAGTGAGAGAGGGAGAGAGGGAGAGAGAGAGAGAGAATTTTCAATATTTATTTTTTAGTTTTCGGTGGACACAACATCTTTGTTTGTATGTGGTGCTGAGGATCGAACCCGGGCCGCACGCATGCCAGGCGAGCGTGCTACCGCTTGAGCCACATCCCCAGCCCCCACTGGAGTTTCTTAACGTCGCACATGATTTAACTTTTGAAATCCTAAAACACTGAAGACTTCTAATTTAAATGTGCTTCTCCTAAGCCCCAAGAGAGGTCAGTGCCTTCTAACCACTCACATCCCTGGCTTTGGTGGGAACCGTGTATATGAAGGGAGTACTTCTGTGTACTTCAGGTGTGGCCGTGCGAGCGTCTGGGCTGGCGCCTCTGCTAATAGAGGCTCCAGTGGGTCGTGTGTGGAGGCCAGCACTCCCTGTGAGCCACCACGCACTGTGGTGTCTGGTGTGCTACAAGCCTTGTGCAGTGTCCCTGAGCTCCTTTCCATCTGATGCCAGGAGGGCGAGAGCCTGTGCTGAGCACTGGTTGCTGGCACGTTCCACAGAAAGCACTGGCTGTTTTTCTCAGAGAAGCCAAATATTGAAAGGTTGGTTTAAAAACAGTCCCTGGCACATCTCATGACTGCTGCAGTGGTTTCTGCTTCTCGGTCTCCCCACCTAATGGTGAACTCCTTGAACACAAGGTGGGAATTCCCAGGTAGATGGAGCTGAGAGCAGAACACAGCCCTGGTGTCATGGAGACTGTGGTCCATTAAGGGAGCCAGTTGGACACAGCTTACACACTTTTGAGTGATGTGCCAGAGATAGTTGACGTCTTCAAAGAAACCCTGAAAGAAACAAGGCAGGTGTGGACAGGCCACAGCTGCGGGCCCAGGGCACCAGGAGCAATCACAGGGCAAGTAAGGGACCCACTTGCATTGGCACCCAAAATTGTACAGATGTGAAAGGGCCAGGACGGACTGAGTGGCCCAGGCAGAATTGTAGTTTTGGAAGCTTCTCTGGTGACAGCAGGAACAGAGTGCCAGGAGGAAGCAGGCCCAGAGAGGAACTTGGAATGTGTAGAAAGGGTGCTCACGGCATAGCAGGTGACATGAGGGGCAGGGGGCACTGAGCGGACCAGGGACTCATTGGTAGTAGAAGAAAGAATCTGAGCCCAGGGTGTGGCTCTAGCAAGGTAGCCGCTGATTTTCAAAGACTGTTGGAGAGACGTGGACAGCCAAGGGGCCCATACTTGAGAGGACTAGACCATGGATGGACAGGGAGGACTGAAGGCCATGGGGTGTGAGATCCTTAGAAATGGTAAGCGACTGTCATCCAAGGAATAGGCAGAGAAAGGGGGACCTAAGACGGGCCTCAGAGGGAGGAGAGAAGCCAGGAAGGAAGGACTGTGTCACAGAAACCGGGGGGAAGGCTCCAGGGGATGACTGTTGGTACTTCGTGCCACAAAGAGCCCCTGTAAGGTGAAGCCAGATGTGGGATGGCATCCAAGAGGTAGCCCTCGTACCAGCAGCTCCAGGCTAGAGGCTGGGGCCCGGATGGACAGTGGCCTAAGGTCAAGCCTTGGACAAGCTACTGTGTCCCTTCCCACCTCAGTCCCTCCAGCATTCATGTCACCCATTGCCTCTCAGCTCCAGGAAAGCCTGAGCCTGGACCCGCCTGCCGCAGACACAGACTCCCCTCTCCCCTCTCCCTGCCTCACAGGGAGAGTAGATGCCACACGCTAATCAGCCATGCTTCCACAGCCTCGGGCCGGGAACACCAGACCCGCAGGCTGGGTACCGCTAGGGGCAGCTGCCAGCAGTTCCACCTGCTCAGCCCCCCCCCCCCCAGAACACAGGAGGGTAGGGGAGGGAGTCGGGGCCTGCAGCTGAGTTGAGGGGCCCCCAGCACTCCCGCAGCTCCATGGCAGATTGGCAGTGCAAAGGAGGCTGCGTTTGTTTTGGTAGCAAGAAAGACACTGGGGGAGAAGGTCTAAGCTAAACTTAGGAAAAGCCAACAAAGTGAGTGGAAGGGAGATGGCTTGAGGTCCCCTGCAGTGGTGCGTGCAGGGAGGAGGACTGAGGTCAGCAGACTGTGCACAGATAGGAGGTGGGGGGAGGTGTCTGCTGGAACAGCCTGTCTGCCCCTCTGTGGTGGCCCTTATGGAATCAGTGTCAGAGACTGTAGGCTGGGTGTGGGCTGGCTGTCCATCAGACACAAGAGACCTAGGATGGGTGTGGAAGTGACCTTGGGTCTAGCAGGAGGCCACCCATGGCCTGGACTACAGGAGGTTGAACAGCTTTGTGGTGTGCAGCAGGCACCAGGGCCCAGGGGGAGGGCAGCAGGGAAGACATGTCCCCTGTCAATTGAGACCCTGGAGCACAGAACCCAGCGCCTAACAGAGAGTGATTCCACACTTTGCATTGCAGTATGCAGTGTATAGTCCAGCCAGCACCGTGAGCTTGCCAGTTGCCATGGAGACAGATGGGCCTCTGTTTGAAGATGTGCAGATGCTGAGAAAGACAGTGACGGAGGAGGCTCATCAGGTAACAGTGCCCTGAGCACTGAGCTCAGCAGGGAAGCGCCCACTACAGATTTGCTTAAGAAATGAGAGTCATAGCCAGGTGGATCCAGCCACTCAGGAGGCTGAGGCAGGAGGATCACAAGTTCAAGGCCAACCTGGGCAACTTAACGAGATCCTGTTTCAAAATAAAAAATAAAAAGGGCTGGGGTGTGGCCCCTGAATTCATTCTCCAGTACCAAAAAAAAAAAAAAAAAGAAAGAAATGTGTGTGATTTTAGTAGGTATCATGATATATACATCAGGGCCTTCTGTTTAAGCCAAACTTATAAGTTAAATTTTGGTAATCTTTTTTTTAAATACCTTTATTTTTATTTGTTTTTATTTTTATGTGGTGCTGAGGATCGAACCCAGCACCCCACACATGCTAGGCAAGCACTCTACTGCTGAGCCATAACCTCAGCCCCAAATTTTGGTAATCTTTCAGGAAACATTTTATCCATAGGTCTTAGTGATCGAATTATATTAACTTGAGCAAAACCAGAATCTTTGCAGTAATATCTGGCCACTGCTTTCCCTTTCCCCCTCTGGCTTCTGCTCTGGCCCAGAGATGTTCCCTTTCAGTTCTTCATAACAGGGTACTAACCCCACCCCCACTCAGGACACCAGGCCAGGGCTCTGCCAGGTACACGTCTGGTAATACCCACAGCCCGATGGCTTCTTTTCCACTGTGGGAATAAACATTGTGATCACCTCTAATCCAAAGAGGGCCTCTTACCACTAAGTTGGGAACATACACAGCCTCAAGAGCAGCCCACTGAGCACCTGCTTGGGTCTGAGGAGCCTTGTGCCACTGTGCTCCCTGACATAGTGTCGGCAGGATGTCCTAATGGACTTGAGGACTGCAGCTCCAGGCTCTTTGACCTGTGAGACAGTTCCTGAAGACAGCCGGCACTAGAAGCTCACAGGTGAAAGGAGTGGCTGGAGTGACCCCTGCTGCATACTGTTCACTGTGCACATGGCTCGTCAGTGCCCGTGTCATTCAAGGCTCAATTAAGTCATCGGTTGCCATTTTGATGTTAGAGTTTGTCAGAAACCAAGCAGCAGGCCCCCGGACACTTATGTGCAGAAGCTTGGAACGAAATCAGAATGTTACCTATTTTGGTTCATTTCCCACAAAACAGGGTGTTTTACAGACAGCCCAACACCCCATGCTTATCCCCACAGCAGCATGAAGCCCCATGAGACACGAGCACTTGAAAGGGGCCCAGGATTAGGTGTAAAGACAGCAGCGCTCCAAGGCTTAGTGTGTAAAGGGGGGTGCGACATCCCATTCATGATTTTTTCTTTTCACTCATGGTTTTTATTATTGATCATGTGTTGAAATGATTACATTTTTGATATGTTGGGTTAAATAAAATATAATGTTGAGATTAATGGGACCCATTTCTCTGTACTGTGGCTACTAAAGGGCTTGAAGGTGCAGGCATGGCTGGAGCTGTGCTTCAGCTGGACAGCTGCAGCCCTGGCTCCCACTAATGGGCTCTGAAAAGAGAGAGCCTTTTTCTTGCCCAATTAGACCCTCTACTTAGTTTCAAGTCCAAAATAGGTGAACAAGTACTTCTTTCAGCTCACCAGAGCTTGAAAGTACCGTTAACACAGTAGGAGCTCCGCTACCACTCCCTGGACGCAGGAACTAGTTTTGCGTCTGATGCAGGTGTGTTTCGTCCTTCCCTCAGTGATTAATCTCACCAGTGAGTAGTTTTCATCAAAAACGTGAAAACCCATATATTTGATTCTGTCTGTGGAGTGTACATTTCCCTCCTTGGTCTTTTTTTTTAATTTGGAAAAAAAATCAAGGAAACGTTTTATTATTACCATTTGAGTTTACAGCTTTGAGTTTGCCAAAGGCAGGCCAGCCAGCCCCCTCACCTGCAGACCCTCAGAAGGAAATCATAATGCTGTCTGTGGGAAACCTGCATGGGAATTTGTAACCTCGTGGGTTTTGTTTTGTTTTGTTTGATTTTTTGTAGTTGCAGATGGACAAAATGCCTTTATTGTATATCTGTATGTATTTATTATGTATTTTATATACTGAGGGTCAAACCCAGTACCTTACACATGCAAGGCAAGTGCTCTACCACTGAGCTACAATCCCAGCCCCTCGGGTCATTTTTAAAACACTTGGGCCATACAGAATCAAAAGGAAATTGATGATTTAGGAACAATACTTCACACAATAAATATTTGAGGGTTGAAGGAAGTTTTCTTCTTGGTACATCCTTCAACTTAAGACAGAATCAAAACTAGAAACAGTCATAAACTTGCCTGAATGTAATGAAGCTAAGACATATTTACAGTTTATGTCCTACTCTATAGTAGACCAAGAGCCTGGTTCAGAACACAGACCAAAATAGCATCTGGAGTGAAAGTGCTCTTGAGAGTGGGCTCTGGTGTCGGCAGGAGCCCCGCTGGCTGCTGGGTCCTGCTGTTCCAGGAGGGCCCCAGGCGATGGGCCAGGCCTGCAATCCGAGGCAGTCTAGTCTCAGTGGAGGCCCAGACAGGAGTTTCTGGGAAATGGCCAGGGCACTTTGGTGTCCTTGCTGGCTTTCGTGGTCCTCGATACTAGAGGGATAGCTGAGTCTCCCTGGCCTTTCCTGGGTCTCATTCCCAGGTCAGAAGACTCAGATGCCCCGGGGATAAGTCTGTTCTACCCACATTCTTGTGTTCTCAACTAGAATCCCAGCAGGCTTTTTTTTTTTTTCCTCCCTTCCCCTTCCTTAAGCAGTTGACAAACTGACTCTAAAATCCCTGTGGGAACACAGAGGACCCAGAGTAGACAGACAGACTGAAAAAAAAAAAAAAGAGAGAATGGAGGACCACCACCACCCAGCGCCCAGCCTTATCATAGCTTTCTATGTGCTAATTGATTCAGTGAATCCATTAAATTCAGTCGAATCTCATCCTATAGATGAAGGTACTTATGAAGTGTGGAATCTTAGGTATGATATTTGAAATGATAGAGTCATAATTTGAAAATGTTTGGAACCATCTTCCTGAAATTCTCTGAAGCACTGTTATAGCAAGGAGGAGTTACAAAGGTACAGGAAAGGGCATGTGCACAGTTTGGTGACCAAATTGACATAAGAAGTTACACTGAAAATTAATGGTTGGGTTTTTTAATAGAGTAATTTGAATATTTTCAGTGCCCCTTTGAGTTTATTTTCAGCTATTTTTCCAAAACAATTCCACGTTTCTTTAAGCTGATTTGAATGCTGGGTTAGGACAGGGAGGGAGGCAAGTGAGGTACGCAGAAGACCATCACACTAAGGGAGACACTCGGTTTGATCTTTATGGAGAAATTCAATGATGTATTTGCCTGTCAGAGCCATTATCTGACTTTTCTTTGAGAAACTCATGCAAACCTATACAGAATATGCAAAGAAAACTAGTAAGTTTCTCATGAATGACAATGATACAGAGGCTTAAAATGTTTGCAATTCTCATTTTTGACAGTTGGTCGGGAGGAAATCAATGTCAACCACGCAAGTAAGGAAGGTGTAGAGACTAAGGTAGGCAGTACAGGTATTTGCTGTTAAATATGTAGAGTATGCTTAATAAGGCTTTTATCTACAAAAAGATTTGACAAACTAACATCGTGTACATGAAGTATTTTCCCTTTTCCGTGTCATTCCAGCCTGTGATGGTCAAGACAAAGCTAAAGAAATTTAGTCCCTTAAGAAATTTTGATCAGTCCTACCCTAAATTAAGTAGTAAAGTTTAAACCCATGCCTCTATGAAAGGAAGAAAATTTTCAAAATGGTGTGCACCCAGCCTTCGTACCCACACCACATACCATTTAGTTCTCCTGGCACACCAGAGCAGAGGCCACGGAGATGCCCCACCAGAGCTTTCCCACCTGCCCCGTCCTCCTGCCCATGCCAGCATGCTTGCCTGCACGTGTCTCCACCAGGACCACCACGTCGCACATCTCATTTCTTCTCACCTCCTGCGTCTCTCATTTTCCCCTTGTGGTTTCTAAAGTCATCCTCTGCTTCCTTTGTGGATCTGAAATACATGTGCAGAAAGGCCCAGGTGTGTTCGTCAGCTCTTTGTCCTTCCAGAAGCTCTGGGGTCAAGTGGGTTGTCAGTTTGCCTCACTGGTTCTAGCTGCAAGTGTTTTGACGATTGCCTTCCTCTGTTAAAATGTGTCTTCTCTTTGCCTTTTTTAACAATAATTACATAGTTTACGATTGCCTTCCTCTGTTAAAATGTGTCTTCTCTTAGAAGTGCCTTTTTCAACAATAATCACATACTTTATGTGCATAAAACTCTTGGTTTTTGCTTTGCTTTATTTTATGTACAGATCAACATATAATGGGCATAAAATTCAGGGTAGAATTTCACCTTTGAGTTTCTGATGGGTTGAGGCAAACCTGCTTTACAAAGCTAGAATGTTCTCACAGGTACACTGAGTGGTGACACAGTTCTAGGGGGACATGACCTTCACCATCTCCTGATGTAGCTCTCCTAACACCATCTCACACTAGCCCCAGGGGAAAAAGACAAAAGTCTTGCCTTCCCATGATGAATTTAATGTTCAGGTAACATTTTTAGAAGTAATTCTAAAATGATATCACACCAGGTTCCTTCTAGACCTTGACGTCATTGCTGTTTCATAGATAGATTTGCAGAGAACTCTGTTAGAAGCTACTTGGCTCTGCAGAATGGTGGCCTTTTCCCTTATAACCGTGCAGGCCCTCAAATCTCCAAAAGCAAAAAGAGGCATATTCTACACACCAGGCTGAAGTCAGTTTATCTGGGAACTCTGAGAAGTTGTCATTCTTTTTGTTGTGAGATTAACTTTAAACAGCTTTTTTCTAGTAGATGCACCACAGAAGTAACTTACTTGGATACTGTCTATTTTTTGATGGAGACACTGAACAGAAAGGGAGGCAATTCTGGTTAGGGAATTCCTATCCGACATAGTTGCTATCTAATTGGCAATCTTCCAGCATATGCATTGCATTGGGCTGGTGTAGATGGTTTCTTGTTTTGTTTCAAGGCCCAGGTATTATACAGCAGTGGTCCTCCTTTAGAACTGAATTCTCACAGAAGTAGATGCTTTGATACATGAATGCTCCAAGTCAGGCTCCCTTCCTTTGCAGACAGTTCTAAACCCTTCTGCAAAAATGGCATTCATTTAACTTTTAAAAGAGTAAAACCAACATTTTCTGAACTTCAGAAAGAGAATGGAATACAGAGGAGAGTCTTTTGGTTTTTACCCTTAATATCTGGAACGTTTATGTAAATAAATACGGTTTTTCTAAATGCTAGAGGTGCTTTTTTTTTTACCCCATGTCCCATTTAATGCCTATTCTCTTAAATCTTTTTAAATTTGATAGTAGATTTCATGTGTGTGTGTGTGTGTGTGTGTGTACATATACTTTTAGTTGCCAGTGGACCTCTACTTTATTTAATTTCCCTCCAAAGGGAATTTCTCATCTGGAGTCCGTCTGTAATGGACACAGTCATGAAGTGGCTTTGGTAGCACTTTATGAACTAGACAGGTATTCACTAGGGTGGGTGAATTCTACAAAGCCAGCCCCGCACCATTTCCCCATGCTGCTTGTCATATTGTTTTCATCAGACAAGATGTTTTTTGGGAATGACCACAAGAAGAACTATGCCCTGTCCCCGAAGCCAAGAGCCTTGGCAATGGGAGGTACACATAGGCCCCATGATTCTTCTTTGAATTCTAACTTGGAAGTGAGCTGCTGCTTGGGTGGCTTAGTTTATAGCCAACTCCATTGCATTTTTGATTGCAGGCACAGAAAGATCTGAAGAAGGACCGTCCTCTTGCGCGCCGCAAGTCCGAGCTGCCTCAGGACCCCCACACCAAGAAAGCCTTGGACGCCCACTGCAGAGCTGATGAGCTGGTCTCCCAGGACGGGCGCTAGCCAGGCCAGCAGCCGCCACGCCAGTGCACTTCTGGGTTCTGTAGAAAATCCACACTGTCTGTGCCATACCAATCAGTTACTCAAGGCAAAGCTTCCTCCACCCGTTCTGTAGGCAAAGGCGCTCGCCTGCCTCAGCTCAAGATTAGGAGTTCAAACAATGGTGGCTTCTCAGACCTGCTGGCCAGCCGGGCTGATTACGGTGTCCTCACAGCGTCATCCCCACCCCTGCGTAGCCTAGGTCAGACTGACAGTCCGAGCTGTAGGAAAGCACCCTGGTCATCATCTTCATGTTCTGCCCACACAGAATCAGGGAGCCTTTAAAATAGGCGCTCCTGTGATGATGTTTTCAAATTAAAGGAATACTTTTAAAGGTATCACCTGTTTTTTGAGACTTTGACCTCTGCAATTGTTTCCACCTGATGGTTAGGCCAGCAGTTTTTGTTTGCTTATTCTCACAGAAATGGCTCTTGCTTTCACGTCCTAACAGCCTACTGGGAGAGTGACACGACAATCCTCCGCCGCGGGCACCTCTGGGCGTTCCTTTTCTTTGGTCAGCGGCATGTACACCCTGTCCTCCTCGTATGTCTACTGAAAGCCATATTCCCAAGCCTGTGGGACAGCACCAGGATTCCAGGGGTGAGCTCATACAAGAAGTTTATTTCAAAAGAGCTTTCTCGTGTCTACCTTAACTGGAATTGAAATTTTAAAATTATGTGTTCGTATTTTTATTTGCAGAATCAGTTTTTCACCTATTTACACATTGTTGCCCTTCAACAAGGCTCTCAAATTAATAGAATCATATTGTCTAGGAGTCCCACATTCTGTAGAGAGTTAGGATGAGACCCATTTGAGTTAAGCCTGCTCTTGGCCCAGTGCAGACGGCAGCGCCTTTGGCGTTAAGTAACACAGTGGTCAGTGTGGCCAGCCCACTGCTGTGACATGGTCCTCAGAGCCCAGAGGAAGCACCAGTCACGGTGGCGCTGGGTGAGCCTCCTCTGGGGAAGAGCACACATCACATCACCAAGGAAAGGACAGTGTCTGAGTTTCCATCGGTCTTCAATGCTGCTGTGTGTTCCCCAGACTTCTTGCATGGAGTACACTTTTGTCTAGATGGAACAGCACGAGAAGGAGAACCTTTGACTTAGTGCTTTGTCTCTTCTTTATTTCTCTCAGGGTGGCCAGTATTTTGACTTGTTTATCCTGCTTGAAAGCTACTTGAGATGTGTGCTGCTCTTCTAAACAGTGGCTCTAGTTTTTTTGTTTGTTTGTTTTGTTTTTGTCTCTGGCATATATAACTTAACGTTAACTGTCTTGATGCATAAGATAAGAGATAAAGTGTGGCTTCTTTTAGGATCTGTTTTTTTAATCGTGGTCTCTGGTATCCATGGAAAGACTGTGGAAATTAGACATGGGTCCTGTGTGGCTGCAGTGCCTGCTGCCCGGGTTCCTTTACGCCCACTGACAACGCTGATGTCCTGGTGTCTTGAGGGAAAATCATCTGGGGGAGGGGATTCCTCATGTTGAGAGCAAGCACAGCATGAAAGGAAAAGATGGCCCCAGCCGAAAGTGGACAGGTCAGTCCACTTGGCGAGAATACTTCCTGAAAAACTTGACAAATATCTATCCATTTTACCATTATGAAATCTATAATTTAAAAAAAAAAAAAAAGTTTAGATGCCTTCTCCTTTTGAGGGAAAAAGGGTGCTTTTATTGTATAAAGCAACGTCCTACATATTTTGATATACCATTGTTTGAACTTCTGTCTTTAGCTGATAGGTTCACACATCCCTTATCTTGGATGTTTGGTATGTTTGAGAGAAAGGTTTCTGGGAAGACTCTCCTTCTGCCCTAGGGAAAAAGCAAAATATCATTGTCTGGCTGATTGTGTAAAGCTCAATGTGTAAGAACATCTTTTGGTCTAGGTTTTATTTTGGCTCTTTATTGAAGACAAACATTCACCAATGGGGGGGGGGGGGTGAGAAAAACTAATTTTATTTGACAAGAGTATTACTTAATATTTTGGCCTATGGAAGTTTCCCTAGTTAGTACTCGGATTCCCTGTGCTAATTGTTCAACTTATATATTATAAATTATATAGAGACACTGTTTATTCTGTACCAAACTGATTTCAGAAGTACTGCGTTGAAAATAAACTGGTGACTGTTTTTCTTCATAAAGCTCCGCGTGGCATCTTCACTCTCCACAACGCACCTGTGCACCAGAAGTGTCCTGGTCCGAGTGTCTGTTCCGTGTGGCTGTAGTATGGCTTCCTTTTAATATTGTACATACATTGTATCTTTGTTTTATGGTAATAAGTAATAAAAATGTAGACTTCATATTTTGTACAAAATGTCCTATGTACAGAATAAAAAAGTTCATAGAAACAGCAAAAGTAGGTAAGTGGCACAATTATTTTTCTTTAGAAAATATCTGTAACTTTATGCTTTAGTGAAATGTTAAGTACCTACATATTTTTTAACATTTTGTAATTCCAAACTTTTTTGTTTTGACATTGTTTATGAAGATAAACTTCATACACTTGCCATTTAATATGCTCTTTTACCTAATTTTAAAAATCTCTAAAAACGGTGTATTATATGGACTAAATAAAGAACATGTGAATTTTATTGCTCATCATGAAACTAAATCTGGCCGTGGCCTTGGGCAGCCTGGTTCTGAGGCTGTCAGGCTGCTGTCAGGTGCAGGGACGGCACTGCAGGGACGCTGGCCTGAGGCTGGGAAGCTGTCCCTGGCGCAGCCCCACAGGGTCCCCCAACGCCAGCTCCCATGCACGCTTTCCAGAGCTGATCCCCACACTGATGACGCACCTCTTTAAGGGAAAGGCAGAAGTGACTGCATAGACATCTCTCGTTTATTGAGGAGGCAAATGTAAATCAGAATGCAACCTATAGAAATTGAATTCTTTCCAGTTCTGGGTTTTCAGAAATTTGTGAAGAAATTAAGCAATTAGATGGAGAACTAGAGCAGAACTGGTGAAGACAAGTTTGGAGCCTGGTTAACCGGCCTCGTCCTCTGCAGACAGATCGCCATCCTCACTGACATGGTTTCTGAAGCCCGCAGGAACAGTGCCAGGGTGAGGTGGCATTTCCTCTAGGCATTCAGGAAACTCCCTTCTACTGGCTTGAGCCCAGTCCATGTGCCTGGGGTGGGTGACCCTTGCCCTGGAGTTCCTCACCTACCGTCTGGTCTTCCCTATTCAGTGGCTTCTCCCAGGACCAGGTGTTCACTGCGGCCAAGCCCCAGGCAGAGAGGCCTTGGGCTGCCCCAAGTTCTTGGGCCTAAGTAGCAGTGAGTTGGGTATTTTGGAAACCACCGGTACCCCAGCCCACCAGGAGCAGGTCAGAAGACCGAGTAGATCTGGGGCTGCGACTGAGACCAGAGGGTCACCCTCTGTGTCTCCTCTTCTTCATGTGGGAGAAGCTGTCCTGTCAAGTAGCACACATGGCAGGATCCCTGTGAGGGCCGACTGGACAGGAGCATGCTCGAGTGCTTTGCAGCAAGCAGCCCCGATGCAGGTCTGCCCTGGTGCTCGGTCCCCTTCATGGGAATTGGCATCACCCAGTCAGCAGGGAACACAGGGAAGGCTGCCTTCTCTTCAGCTTGTATCAGGACCCATCACAGGCACCTCATGTCCCTGACTGGTTTACTTAATTTTCAGAACTCTCCTGAGTATTTGCCACACATACCATCATTCACAAATGAGACAAGCACATAAAGGTTAAGTCACTTGCCCAAGGTCACACAGCACTGGGTAGAACTAGGTTTTGACCCAGGCAGCGTGGCCCTGGGGCGCAAGCCCCTGGCCACCCTGTTAGTGGGTAGAAACGCCCTCTACATAGACCACACAGGTGGCAGTGACACAAGTGAGGCCCCCATCTCTGTCACCATCGTGCCAGACTGTAGATGCACCCAAGTGGGCAGTGTGATGAGAACTCTAGGCAAAGGCTCCATGTCTGGTCTCCACTGGGTCACGCTGTGGGAAACCCCTAAGGTGAACAGGTGGAGGGCCCCCCATCAGCTCTGTTCACAGCCGTGTTGCCCATCCAAACCCTACACTGCGCCCACTGGGAAATCTGCCTGAAACTGTCGAGGGACAGCATGGACTCGGGAGCATGTGGGCAGTGCACTACTTCTAGAACCAGAAGAATGCGGAAGTCCAGCCTAGTGGTGCACGCCCGTCTAAAGAAGCCACTGTTGTCATGTAAATTTTAATTTTATAGCATTTTAACTTCTAAAAAACTCTGTGTTTTAATGAGCGTTTTCACTGCTATGACTTAAAGACTCAACCAGAACAATTGTAGAGGAGGAAAAGTTTATTTAAGGGATCACGGCTTCAGAGGTCTTAGTCCATATATAGTCAGCTCCATCATGGAGGAAGAGTGTGACAGAGGGAAGCAGCTCACATGGTGATCGGAAAACAGAGACTCCACTTGCCAGATACAAATACATAGCCAGAGCCATGCCCCCAATTCCCACCTCCTCCAGCCACACCCCACCACCTCAGCTACTAGTCAGTTAATCCCTATCAGGGGATTAATTCACTGATTGGGTTAAGACTCAACCCAATCACTTCTCCTCTGAACCTTCTTGTACTATCTCACATGTGAGCTTTTGGGGGATGCCTCACATCCAAACCATAACACTCTGAAAATATACAAAATTTCAGCACTTTAGAGACCAATACATGAACCTCTATTCTCATAACTTTGTTATGAACATCAATCTATAGAGTTAAATAGAAATGTAGCTCTTAAATGGTTTCTCACAAGATTTGATGGGAAAAATGGGTTCTATTACCAAAAAGTATGAAATCCACGAACCATAATTTAAGCCTTTTTTTTTTTTTTTTTTTTCCTCACAAGAGAAGAAGCCATTCTATACCTTGATGGGATGGGGCAGGTCAAAAACGAGGAAGGAATCATCTTTCTCTGTCCCTAGGTTTCCTGATTGTATCCAGCTCAGGGTCAAGTTAGCCTGCTTTGTTTACTTGTATGGCAGTTTTACAACTATACCACTAAATATAGGCCATGCTGAGCTGAGTATTATGGTTTGTGTATTTTTTTAAAATACATATTTTTAGTTATTGATGACCTTTATTTATTTATTTATATGCAATGCTGAGAATTGGACCCAGTGCCTCACATTTTAGGCAACTGCTCTACACTGAGCCCCAGGCCCAATTTAAAGGAAGATGTGTAACAAGTTGGTTGCTAGTCCACCCAAGAGTTTTTTTTCCTGTAGTAAAAGCAGCCAGTAACAGCCAGATACTGTGGTGGACATTCAGCACCATGTGATTGGAAAATGGCAACGGAGGAACAGCAAGGAGCTGCAGGAAAGCAAGTGGCCCCTCAGTGCGCCTTCTGCAGCCACTGAGTAGCCTCCTCAGCTCTCCATGGTGACACATCAGTCATCTGTCTTCAGAACACACCTTAGAGGAGTCTGCCTCCGAGGATTTGCAGGTTGGAAGGCACCGTGCAGCCAGTGTCTGCACCCCTGTTGGTGTCTGTGCTGAGCCTCCTGCTCAATCCTTTCCTGCAGGATTCTCTCCAGGAGCCCCGAGTTCCACCCTGTGGGGTGTTATGAGCCACAGCTTCCACTCCAGCTTGAGGCAAACAACAGACTTTGGTGCCCTTCATCACAGGCTTCCATTAGTGCTGAGAAGTCTGTTGAAAGTGGGTCCCCAACCAGGTGAGCCCCTCAGAGTGGGCACGCTGCCTGAAGGTTAAAGCCAGAGCAGGGTCTCCAACTGCTCCTCCTTTGGCAACTCCTGCAAACCAAAACCTTGAGCCCCACAGAGCCCACCCAATCCCACTGCCCTGTGATTGCATCAAGTGACTGGTCTTAAGCTGAAAGTAAGGACTCTTGTGTAAACTACTGAATGGATCCAGACCACTTTTTTTTTTCCCTGAAGTTCATATGATTCCATGGTGAATTTCTTTGCTGTGAAATCTAGAGTTTTCTTCTTTCAGAATGGTTTATCTTGGGTTTCAAAAAGACATGTTATGAAACCCTCCATGTAGAATGAAATATCTGTTAAGCTCCCGAAGCTTCTCAAGAGCAGGTTGGTGTGAGGCCCACATGCCTGGCAGATGCCACCCGCACCAGGAGCCCGCTCTGCGCCCAGGCGTTACAGACTGCGGTGTTGCTGTTGCAAAGTTCAGGAAGTCCCACCCTCCCTCAGGCTCAAGAACTCCCAGCAGGGCTCACCAAGGTTAGTAAAGCTATCTACTCACTGTTAACACTTGTGACACGGAAAGGACACATTCAGGTCAACAGGAAGAGAGGCACAGGGCAGGGGACTTGGAGCTCAGGGCTGCTAGTTGTCCTCTGCCAGCAATATGCCAAGACCACACACTTGGCATACTGCCAACCTGGGATGCTCGCCTGCACCTCAGTGCACATGGTTGTACTGGGATTAATCGTGTTTCCATGCTAGCCTCAGTGTCCAGCCCCTCCAGATGTCGAGCCTCTGCCCTGCGGCCCAAGACCCCCACCATAAACCACAGTGTTAGCAGGAGCATCCCACATGGCCCAAGGCCCCCTGTAGACAAAACACTCTAACCAGGCAGGATGTCCCCAGGGCACAGTGGCTACCTGGGGAGATGGGGACTCGGGTCAGCCCATCTGGGGAAAGCTAATCCACTACCAAGGAGCCCTCCTCGCCAGAAAAGGAGCTGGAGCACAGGTCCATGAACCTGGCCAAGCAGATGATAGACAGGAGCAATACAGGGAGGCCAGGGTCCTCACGCCAACCTCCACAACCCGAAGCTCTTCCCACTGCCAGCCAGGGGCAGCCAGCAGGAGAACTTCTAAGCTCGAGTGTGAGGCCAGCCCTCCAGTTTACCTGGAAAGGAGAGGAGCAGCAGAGCCTGGGGATGTGGCCTCTCAGCTTTGTAATTTTTGTTTCTTCCTGCTTATTTCTAAACATCCAGGAACAAAAGCTAATAAATGAGTGGGCACAGGATGGCCAGTTCCAAAGCCAGCAGGGCAGTCATCGCCACCTATGAAAAGCTCTGGCCTCCATTATCTTCGGATGATCTCTCTGTTTGTTACTTAGGTTGACAGAAGGCAGAGCCGTGAACGTCTGTCTTCAGTTCTCACCACCACAGAAAACTGACCCCTCCCCACGTCCAGACATAGAACAAACAGGAGACTTGGAGCAGAACCTAAGTGGCCAGGCACATCCTACAGCTACAGACGAAACTCAAAACAGATAACACTGCTCGCCAAATCCACCTGCAGCATTTATGAAAACTGGTCATATACCAGGCCACAAAAATCCAAAATTCCAGAACAATACAGCAGCACTCTGACTGCAGTAAAACTGAAAGTTAAGAGGGAAAAAAAAAGGTAAGGTTCTTTCACCTGAACATTTTTAAGCCACAAAAAAAAAAGACTCTAAGATGAAAAGGGGAGGAGGAGGAAGGAGTTTTTTGTTTGTTTGGTTTTGTTTTGTACCAGGGGTTGAGCCCAGGGGTGCTTTACCACTCAGCCACATCCCCAGCCCTTTTCAGGGTCTCATTAAGTCACTCAAGACCTCACTAAGGTCCTAAAGCTGGCTTTGAATTTCCAATCCTCCAATCCTCCTGCCTCAGTCTCCTGAGTT